CCCCGCGTCCCTGTGCCGATCGTGGATGTGGGTGGGCGGTGAGCGTGAGGCGGGGAGGAGGTGCGGTGTGTGGATGCGGCCGGGCGGGTCTGGCAGCAGCGAGCGTGAGGTGAGGAGGTGTGGCGCGCAGCGTGTGTGGAGCCGTGAACAGGGCCAACCAATCGGAAGCCGATTAATCGATGAATTAAAAAGTTGACAACTTTTTCAATAATTGATTATAATTGATTATGTCGATTAGTTGTTGCAGCCCTACATTACATGTACCCCAGCACAACCCAAAACGGGAATAATGTTTTCCCTCTGATTGCTCTGATCCAGATCAGATTGTATCAAGCCTAATTAACAACAAAAATGTGACTTAGTGCAATTAATAAGTACAAAATATTTCCTTGTCAGCTCATATAGACTGTAAATAGTGGCATATACTGTATATAGACTATAGGCCACACTGGTGTTCACACATTATTCATTTCTGTATTACAGCCGCTGTTATAAAGTGTTCTAATTTATAGCCAGTGAAAGATTACACAAATAGTTATATGAAAAACAAAAAAAAAAGCACACAAATTGTTAATCCCACAAATTCATATTGTCAAAAATATATACAGTTATGATCGCCCCACACATAAGGTGCACATCTCAAAAAAACCCAGTACTAAATAGTAAGAAGAAAATTGCAATTTGTGAGAAACTGTATAGTTGTAAATGTTTTGAAAAGCCATATAACTATGAAGCAATAGCCAGTATGAGCAATGACAGTAGGATACTCAGCTGCAGAAATCACAGAGCAATAGTGCCGGGGCCATGACCCTAAACTAGAATGTACATTAAATAAAAAGGATACTGCTCACCGTTAGGTTAGAAAAAGAAAACAAAGTCAAATTTATGACAGTTGCTGTAATTGAAATGCAGACTTCCTCACAATGTCCCACAATCATCTATATAAGTCAGCACACCAAACATATAAAGTTTAATTTGTGGACTGAAAATTTCAAAGTAGCAAATGATCCATGCATGACTAGTAATGTCATATAAAGGTACCACCACAATGCCCAATAGGCTGTACATAGGCCACCTGTTTTGAAAATTGACAATGCTAGTGGGTAAAACATAGGACAGAGTGCACTTATGTACATTTATACACAAAATCAGTACCAGAGGTGCAGAGAATACAAACCCCGACACCCAGAAGCAGGTGAAGGTGGAATAAAACTAATGATATATAGGGGTAAAGACCCTTTTATAAAGTCAGATCTTGCCTCCCTTGCTGTACTGACATACACTTACCCTAAGGTGTAGCATGCCTGCTGCATTTTACACCTTCCTTGTGCTTTGTTTTAGACTGGATGCATAATGTTCTGTGTGTGATGTGTGGTAGAACACACATCTAGGTGTGAATAGGCCCATGCAGCTTCCCTTTCTTACTAAACTGTATCATGTAGATGTGAACCAGCCACATAGGAAATAATGTGATTTTAACTTGAAATTCACCTTCATGCAGCAAAATGCATAGGTTTTTCTGCATGAAAACAGACCAGTGTGAATACGCCCAATTACTTACCACTAAAAACAGATAACAGTTAACAGTTTCAATAAACTTTATTTTTGTTCCCTTTCTGAAAGCTACAATGGTAGGGAACTTGTTGACTTATGTATACTCAATCTGCCGTTTCCCTTTCATTTTAATTTATATTCTTAAGACATAGCAGCGATTTAGATGAAAAATACATAATTCTTTATTTGGATGAGCGACGGCCAGCTGGCAGCTCAGGGGATATATTATTTGAAATAGTGATGGCCAGCTGGAAACTCAGACTGTGTACGACCTTTTGGTGCCACCTGTACAGCTCTTCTGTTGTCTCTCTACATAGGGTATTTTATATCTCAGAAAAGGGTACTTCTACAAAGCAACTATTTTATATCTCAGAAAAGGGGGCTTCTACAAAGCAACTATTTTATATCTCAGAAAAGGGGGCTTCTACAAAGCAACTATTTTATATCTCAGAAAAGGGGGCTTCTACAAAGCAACTATTTTATATCTCAGAAAAGGGGGCTTCTACAAAGCAACTATTTTATATCTCAGAAAAGGGGGCTTCTACAAAGCAACTATTTTATATCTCAGAAAAGGGGGCTTCTACAAAGCAACTATTTTATATCTCAGAAAAGGGGGCTTCTACAAAGCAACTATTTTATATCTCAGAAAAGGGGGCTTCTACAAAGCAACTATTTTATATCTCAGAAAAGGGGGCTTCTACAAAGCAACTATTTTATATCTCAGAAAAGGGGGCTTCTACAAAGCAACTATTTTATATCTCAGAAAAGGGGGCTTCTACAAAGCAACTATTTTATATCTCAGAAAAGGGGGCTTCTACAAAGCAACTATTTTATATCTCAGAAAAGGGGGCTTCTACAAAGCAACTATTTTATATCTCAGAAAAGGGGGCTTCTACAAAGCAACTATTTTATATCTCAGAAAAGGGGGCTTCTACAAAGCAACTATTTTATATCTCAGAAAAGGGGGCTTCTACAAAGCAACTATTTTATATCTCAGAAAAGGGGGCTTCTACAAAGCAACTATTTTATATCTCAGAAAAGGGGGCTTCTACAAAGCAACTATTTTATATCTCAGAAAAGGGGGCTTCTACAAAGCAACTATTTTATATCTCAGAAAAGGGGGCTTCTACAAAGCAACTATTTTATATCTCAGAAAAGGGGGCTTCTACAAAGCAACTATTTTATATCTCAGAAAAGGGGGCTTCTACAAAGCAACTATTTTATATCTCAGAAAAGGGGGCTTCTACAAAGCAACTATTTTATATCTCAGAAAAGGGGGCTTCTACAAAGCAACTATTTTATATCTCAGAAAAGGGGGCTTCTACAAAGCAACTATTTTATATCTCAGAAAAGGGGGCTTCTACAAAGCAACTATTTTATATCTCAGAAAAGGGGGCTTCTACAAAGCAACTATTTTATATCTCAGAAAAGGGGGCTTCTACAAAGCAACTATTTTATATCTCAGAAAAGGGGGCTTCTACAAAGCAACTATTTTATATCTCAGAAAAGGGGGCTTCTACAAAGCAACTATTTTATATCTCAGAAAAGGGGGCTTCTACAAAGCAACTATTTTATATCTCAGAAAAGGGGGCTTCTACAAAGCAACTATTTTATATCTCAGAAAAGGGGGCTTCTACAAAGCAACTATTTTATATCTCAGAAAAGGGGGCTTCTACAAAGCAACTATTTTATATCTCAGAAAAGGGGGCTTCTACAAAGCAACTATTTTATATCTCAGAAAAGGGGGCTTCTACAAAGCAACTATTTTATATCTCAGAAAAGGGGGCTTCTACAAAGCAACTATTTTATATCTCAGAAAAGGGGGCTTCTACAAAGCAACTATTTTATATCTCAGAAAAGGGGGCTTCTACAAAGCAACTATTTTATATCTCAGAAAAGGGGGCTTCTACAAAGCAACTATTTTATATCTCAGAAAAGGGGGCTTCTACAAAGCAACTATTTTATATCTCAGAAAAGGGGGCTTCTACAAAGCAACTATTTTATATCTCAGAAAAGGGGGCTTCTACAAAGCAACTATTTTATATCTCAGAAAAGGGGGCTTCTACAAAGCAACTATTTTATATCTCAGAAAAGGGGGCTTCTACAAAGCAACTATTTTATATCTCAGAAAAGGGGGCTTCTACAAAGCAACTATTTTATATCTCAGAAAAGGGGGCTTCTACAAAGCAACTATTTTATATCTCAGAAAAGGGGGCTTCTACAAAGCAACTATTTTATATCTCAGAAAAGGGGGCTTCTACAAAGCAACTATTTTATATCTCAGAAAAGGGGGCTTCTACAAAGCAACTATTTTATATCTCAGAAAAGGGGGCTTCTACAAAGCAACTATTTTATATCTCAGAAAAGGGGGCTTCTACAAAGCAACTATTTTATATCTCAGAAAAGGGGGCTTCTACAAAGCAACTATTTTATATCTCAGAAAAGGGGGCTTCTACAAAGCAACTATTTTATATCTCAGAAAAGGGGGCTTCTACAAAGCAACTATTTTATATCTCAGAAAAGGGGGCTTCTACAAAGCAACTATTTTATATCTCAGAAAAGGGGGCTTCTACAAAGCAACTATTTTATATCTCAGAAAAGGGGGCTTCTACAAAGCAACTATTTTATATCTCAGAAAAGGGGGCTTCTACAAAGCAACTATTTTATATCTCAGAAAAGGGGGCTTCTACAAAGCAACTATTTTATATCTCAGAAAAGGGGGCTTCTACAAAGCAACTATTTTATATCTCAGAAAAGGGGGCTTCTACAAAGCAACTATTTTATATCTCAGAAAAGGGGGCTTCTACAAAGCAACTATTTTATATCTCAGAAAAGGGGGCTTCTACAAAGCAACTATTTTATATCTCAGAAAAGGGGGCTTCTACAAAGCAACTATTTTATATCTCAGAAAAGGGGGCTTCTACAAAGCAACTATTTTATATCTCAGAAAAGGGTACTTCTACAAAGCAACTATTTTATATCTCAGAGATGGGTACTTCTACAAAGAAACTATTTTATATCTCAGACAAGGGTACTTCTACAAAGTAACTATTTTATATCTCAGACAAGGGTACTTCTACAAAGTAACTATTTTATATCTCAGAGAAGGGTACTTCTACAAAGTAACTATTTTATATCTCAGAAAAGTGTACTTCTGCAAAGTAACTATTTTTTATCTTGGAAAAAGGTAATACACAATAGGGGTTATTTATTTCTAGGTGCATCTGCTTTTTTTCCCCCATACATTTATTCAGAATAAATTTTATCTAACAGACATTTCAAATTTAAGCAATGTTTGAAGGTTATCTTTCAACTTATTTGACTCAACGAATGAGTAGTTAGGATTTCTCTTTTGCTTTTCTGGTGCCCATAATTAGTTCATTCATTTGAGAAGGACCATACAGTAACTTGGTTAATGTAGTCAAATTCTTCACCCACCATTACTTAGTTGAAAATATTTGGCCATTGAACAACCTTTTCACTCTGGGTCTTTACAACTTAAAACTGAGCGAAAGTCCAGCAAAAGAAGTGCTGCAGAATTGGGTTTCCAGTGAACCTGTGTATGCGTTGCAACCTAGATCTTTCAGCTGCTCATAGTGGATCTGAATAATCCGAGCGACTGTCTCAGGCAATTTATATTGGCCCTTAGCAGCCAATTTAGTTCAAACATTTATTTTCCTCTGCAGGATTGAATTTGATTGGTTGCTATATGGCAGCACAAGATGAATTAGAGAGTGCATCATTCATACACAATAATAATAGCGATATATTACATTTCCCTGCCTGAGATTCTTAGCCAAGTAATAAGTCTATCAAATGACCTCATATCCAGGCTACGCATCCAAACTCTGAGGCTGACTTATCAGTATTAAAGCTAAGGAACTGGCTTTGTAACGCAGCACAATATCATTTAGCTGCTATTTTTACAGCATTGGGCAATATGAGGTAATATCCTATTAGAGAGTTCATCCTTCATACACATTAACAATAGTCAATAGTAGGGATGCACAGATACTTTTTGAGTACCAGTGCAGATACTTGGCATTTTCATGAGAACTACCAGGGTTGCAGCGATTGCAGCTGGGACCTGGCTCTGGCGCTCCACCACTGTCCTGAAATCATTAGTCTGTATTGTTTCAGAAAAACTGTCACATGACAATAAACAAAAATGTATCAGTACTCGTACTTGTAAGTACTCGGCAAGTACCAGTAATCGTACTCGCAAAACTGGTATCTATGCATCCCTTTATTTATAGTTATAAAAACAAAATCGTACATTAAAACAGAGATGTACAAATCCCAGGAACAATATAATTTTGCTGCTGTTTTTCAGTTTTTGGGCACTATTAGGTTATATCCTTATTTTCAATCTACTGCGAGTCTGATCAATAAGTGTAGTCATTGGCTGTCACCTGAATCCTACCAAGCAGATGAAATATTCAGTCATATTTGTTTTTCTAAATCAAAGACACATGTTGTTTAAAATTGTACTTAAGTTTACTTGAGGACTGAGTGGCTAAGAATATGAGTAGTGCAATGAGAAATACATAGAACGTTCCATTATACAATAAATCCATGTAGCTCACTTTTTTTTAACCAGCAACATTTTCAGATAATTGCTAAGAGCTGATGAGATTTATTAAACTCTCTAAATGGAGCAGAGCTTAAAGACTCATATATTTTCTAGCATTTATTATCCTTTTTTTTAGAATAATGTTGGAGAAGCTGGTTGCCATGGTAATCTGCGGCAATGCTTTCTTTTCCTGTCCAAATGATTTACTCTGCAAAAAAAAGCACAGTTCTTCCTATGCCATAGGCATTGCCCTTTCTACAGAAGAAATGTGCACTTTACTCACTTGACCGATGTGTGCTGTGAATAGAGGCCACAGGTGGAGTAGACATTGTCTGTATTTTACTGTACGACACCAATGTCATTTCTCAGGTGTGCAAGAATTGGGGCTGATGCAGGGGCGGATCCAGAGTCTAGTCTCGGGGAAGGGGGGGCACTGCCAGAAAATAAGCCCCCCCCCCCCCCCCCCT